GGGGCTGGCGGTGACCCTGAGGGAGGCCTCGCTCGGGCTGCCCGGCTGGAGCCCTGCGGTGCCGAGGGGGAGCGCGGATGGGGCTGTCTCCATGCTCGTTTCCTTCCCCAGGGGCAGAGCTGGACGTTGGATGGATGTAGTGGCTTTCGGACCTCGCGCCTGCACTGACGCGGTTAGAAAGGAAGACGCGTGAAGCGATGGTGTTGTGGTTTCTGGCTGTTCGCTATGGCCGGGGGGCCCAGCGAAGCTGCTGTCCCCCACTGTCCCTGGCTGCTCAGGTGGCTGAGAGCAGGGAACTGGACATCCCCCTGCTGCTGCTGAAGTTAAAGGGTAATTCATGCCGTTTCTGAAATAAAAGGATGAGCTAGCGAACTGTGCGCAGTCCTTCTGCCTCCTGAAACACAGAAGGTTTTTCCGAGTGTTCCTGGTAGGGCTGGAGTCTCTGTAAGGTGGATAATGCAGCTTTTCCTGAGAGTGGTGCGGAGTGGCATTTGGCTTGGCAGCAGTGAGGAGGAGGAGCTGGAGAGCAAATGGGCAGGAAGTCTTTTCTGCCTTTCAGCTGTCACCCTGCTGATGTGGGGCCTTGCCCTGCTGATAGGGGCAGGGATATCTTACACTTGGTCAAATCATTTCGACCCAGAGTGGTCGTCAGGATCCACTGTTTAAATCTTAACCCAGAAACACAACCATAAGCTCCTGTGTGACTCCCTGTCTGTCCTGCCACACAGCCACTGCTCTCAGGAACAGTCGAAACAAGTTAGGTCCTGTTCTAAATTGGGATGTAATTATAAGGAAGCTATATGTTTCCCAGTGGTTGTGGTTTTTATCTGGCCTAGGAAATTCATACAAATGGGCTATATCCCAGGTAATGTATGTCTTGCTGCTAAATGCAACAGGGAAAATGGAAAGCTAAGTTTAGGTATCCTTCCCAATTGTCATATAATCTTACAAATCTCTGTAGCTGTAGGAGCAAAAATTGCTGACAAAATGTTTTATGCTGCTGTTAGCACTTTTAGAGTTACCTTAATCCTGGCTCTGTGTACACATATTCTTCTTGTGTCTTAAAGAAAATGAAAAAAAAGTCTTGCAGATCAGAATCTTACGCTCCTCTTTGTCTCTCTCCTGCTTTCTTCCCACAGGAGTTTTAAGTAGTCCTTCCCTGGGATGTGAGGAATCAAAAAGAATTAAGCGAGACATATATGATTATGGGCTCGCTCAGTACTGCTTGCTGGTCCTCAGGCAAGACCACTCTCGGCTGCGTGGAGGTTGGGCTACTGCTGCCCAGCTAGCACAGATACTAAGGTGAAACAAAAAAAAAAAGCAAGCTAAGAAGTTTGCTGCTAGTTTTCTTTCTGTCCTTTCATCTCGCTCTCTTTCTTTTCAAGCTGTAATACATTGGCTCCCATCCAGAACAAGGCTCGTTGTGCAGGAAAGGCCAGGGTTAAAGTGCAGGGAGCAGTCAAGAGCAGAGGGGTCAGGCATGGCCTAATTGGTCCTGTTTAATTCATTTGCATTGTGTTCCATTGAACTGGGTAAACTGTGTGGTGGGAAGGGCGTTTTGTGTTGGCTTTACCTTTTTTTTTGGTGGACAAGACTCATCAGTGTAACTGTTCTTACCCAGTAATTGCTAATTTTGAACTATAGTTATTTTATAAAGTTTGTTTGCTTAGAGTTGATCTTGCAAAGATCTTCAGCCTGATTGACTCACAGCTTGGCTTGACTCATTTAAGTGTTTATTTAATATGCCTATTTTAAATGTCTATTTACATTTTTAAATATCTTAGCTGGCACACAGTTTGTACAGACTAGATAACCTGATGTATGATACTGTCAGAATGGTGTTATCAGATTCAATTCATAGGGAGTAAATAAGAAAACTTTAAACTCAAATCCCCAGTGATCCAATCTCAGTTTTAAACATCAGGAGAAATAATGCACTTTAAATTTTCCTCAAGTTGTGCTTGGTTTTGCCCTAACTAGGAAGCAAAATTCTAAGGCACAAAGTAATTAGACAACCATCTCTTATTTATGCCATATCTGCAGGATGAATTTTTAATGGAATTCCAGCAAGAGATGCAAGATTTATCACCAGAGCAGTGTGATACTTAGATCATCCCCTATAAGTTATTTCAGTTTGCAGAGAATACTGAAATTTATTTTAGCTGTAAAAATGTCCTTTTGTAACCAGATGAATCTCAGCTTCACGCCTAGAATTTGCTTTCCAAGGGCTTTGGTAAACAAAGCTTTACATGTGTGTGTGTTCCCCAAAAGCTAACAAAGCCTGGAGGAGGTGTCAGAAAGCAAAATTCTTACAAAGTTGGGAAGACTTTTGTTGCACTTGTATCAGTGCTAAGTGCAGGACTGACAGACTTCTCAGCTGTAAAACATGCAGTTTCTTGTAAAAAGTCTTCCAGAAACAATGGACGTGTTTGTGGTGAGTAAAAGAAGAGCTGAGATCTGAGGAACTGATTTCTAGCCACATCTCTTCCTCAGTTACAGAAAAGTCAAAGGTTTTGTGGTGAATAATATTTTTATACATATATCCGTTGCCTGATGTGCAGCCCCTTCATCACCACCAGCCTTCCTTTAGCAGCTCTTTGTCTTCCTTTCCAGTTTTGCCTTTTCTTTTCTTCTTTATGCCCATCAGAGCCCTTCCCTGGCATATGGAACAAGCCTGAACAGATCCTGTGAAGCTATAGGAGAAGGTGCCTTGGATATGTTTTAAATGCTGTAATAAGTAGTAATATGGTCTCCAGCCTGCCAGCGAATCCTCTCCCTTTGGAGCAGCCACCTTGGAGCCAGTCACAGCAGTTAGCTGTTGTTCAGGGTTGAATTGTCCCATGCCAATGAAGCATCTCTTCTCCGATGACGTGACATTCATTCAAAGCTGTTCAAACAGGCCCTTGACTATTCAGGTTGATTTTCTTCTTTTTTTTTTTTTTTCCCCTCTCTCTGTTTCAGTCATTGTTGTGTGGGGCTAGAGGTGAAAGAAGATCCTGAGGAATTTTACAAGAAATTTCTTCCTTCAGCTGTAGACAACCTGCTGGTTTTGGGAAAACGCTTGCAAGCGCGATTTATCCGAGCCATCAAGGTACTTAAATTTCATAGCTGAAAGAGCAGAGAACCTCTGTAAACTTTCCCAGGTCACGTATTGAATAAGTAGGATATTAGTCTAAGGACACTGTAGTATGAAAATTTTATTTTCCAGAAATTACAGTCGTTTTTCTTGTGCCTTGGAGCTTTGAAGTCTGTCATTGTGCAGCACTGGGTCTGTGATATGTGCAAAGCTGGTTTGTTACCGTAGGCCTGTTGAGAGAGTTTGGCCACTGCTTTTCACCAGTTGTAAAGGTAGAGGGAAGGAATGCAATTGTAAGTAGGATTGAAGAATTAGAGCAGTATAAGAGGGGGAAAAAAGCCTTACAAAAGGCACCATCCCAGTCACAGTAGTGTCTTAACTTTGCATATCATTAGTTCAGCCTTTGTAACCACTCAGTTCCCACTGCTTTTATTCAGCTTTACAAAAAATGGTTTAGGGAGTCTTAAGATTTTAAATCAGATTTGTTGGAAGTTTGCTGTGCCATAAAATTTCTGCTGTGAAATTGTAAAAAAAAAATTCCAAGAATGCTCACTGCTTTGGAACCTGCACATTGGGAATGCCAAAGGCAGACTTTGTGAATTCAGAGAGTCAAACACTTTCTCACATTTCCCTCCCTCTTTACAGAGAAGAAAGGTTTTGCCCAGCTACGTTCCCTCATGCCTGTGAGGCATTTTGAGCTCTAGAATAGGAAGAAAAAACCCCAACAAGTGAAACCCACGAGTAATTTAAATAACCAAGCTCATGGATTCTGACAGTTTCTTTTAAAATCCCATTTCCCCATATTATCTCATTTCTTGGCTCACTGGTTGCTTGCACTTAGTCAAAGTTTTCCTACCAAGTATTGTGACAGACACCACAAACAATCAGTTCTCAGAAAGAACCAGTGCAGTAATGTGTTTTCTGTTAGTCCAGTACTTGAGAAGTACATTTAGTGCTGAAGGAGGAAACTTCCTGAATGACATCCCAGGAGACTTGAGTCTTATCCACAATGTGTAATTTCCCCCACACTTTCTTATTATGTCTCAGCCTACATGCTGCTTGAGTCAGGCTTGTGGGCAAAGATTTCTTTTGAATGCAAATGCAGTCTTCATTGTAATTAGTACTTTGGCTTTTAAACTTTGTGGTCTCAGAGGTGACTGGGCACCCAGACTTGGTGCTTGCTCAGTGGAATTTTGGAAATACCACTCTACCAGTGGGGATTTGTAGTTTATTCTGCCCTCATTTGCTTTTTGTGCGAGTCTTTGAAGTCAAGGGAAGTACTGAAATAGCTTTCAGAGGCTGACATATTGCCAAAACACAGAACAGATAATATTACAGCTTGTCTTATTACTGATTTTGTATCTCTCCTTGTCAGTAAGGACCAAATACAAAGTTAAACCGTGACTGATGGCTGGGACTTGTAGCACAGATCTAGGAATAGGCTTTCCAGAGTTTCATGTGTGGAGACTCTATTAATGTGGGAGATATCAGGCCAAGTGCTTTATAACAACACTTGTCAGCCATGAAGTACTATCAAAAACCCCTTTGCTGTCCCTGACACCAAGATTCTTGATCTCCAGTGGCCTGTAGCTCACACCTGGAATAGACTCTAGACTGTGTATGTGCATTCACATGTTAAAACCTGAATTCTTACTGGTCATAGGAGAGGGCTGGAGGAGCTCTCCTGTGAAGACAGGCTGAGAGACCTGGAGAAGTCTCCAAGGAGACCTTATATGACCTTCCAGTACCTAAAGGGGGCTACAAAAAAGCTGGAGATGAACTTTTGACAAGGACATGCAGTGGCAGGACAAGGAGTGATGGCTTTAAACTGAAAGAGGTTTACATTAGGTACTGGGGGGAAGAAATTCTGTACTGTCAAGGTGGTAAAACACTGGCACAGGTTGCTCAGACAAGTTGTGGCTGTCTCATCCCTAGAAGTGTTGAAGACCAGGCTGGATGGGGGTTTGAGCAATCTGGACTAGCAGAAGGTGTCCCAGCCCATGGCAAGGGGATTGGAACTAGATGATCTTTAAGGTCCCTTCCAACCCAGACCAGTCTGTGATTGATTCTATGTTTTTTTCCAGTCCAGTGTTATCGCAGGCACCTAACATACTCTGTTTGGCAAACAGATCAAATTTCAGCTTAATACTGGTTTGGTGTTTGCTCCCAGACCTCCAACTAGGAGGTGCTTATGAAGCTTCACCATACCAGTTTTTAGGAACCTTTTCCATTTTAACTATATCCTTGGCCACTTTGTACCTTTTTTTCCCCCCTCTGCTCTTTAATTGTAAGTAACATATTTCCCACTGTGTGCATTAAATCTATGATGCATTTGTACTGAGCTATTATTTGTCTTCTTATCCTTCCTATGCTATCAATTATTTTTTAAGGACTAAACAAGACTTCTCTGTCCTTGTTATGTTTTTTTCACAAATGGATGCTTTTATTTTTTACTTTATTTTTATCTTCTTTATATCTTGATCTCTGACCTCAAAGGAGTCACAAGTTAGGGGTTTTTTTGACTGTTTCCTACAGTTTCACTGACCTTATTTGGGAATTTGGTGGAGTTTTGGCCTCCGAGTTCCTGAGGCATACAAACCTTCCCACCGCATCAAGCTGAGGTCCTTAGTGAAGAGACATACACATGTTTTTGCCTACTTCTCTTTTGTTTAGGATAAAGAAAAACAAGATTTTTTACGCTGGTTCCAAACAGTAACTGATGCCATCTGCTGGCTGTTCGGGGGGCACCTTCAACTAGCAGCGTGTGGTAAGGGAAATGTCAGCTCATAAAACACTTGAACGTTTATTTATGGCAACTACAGGTACCTTAAGCTAATCCCCACATAGCCTTGTAAACCGGAGTAGATGTTAAATCAATGTCTAACAGTAGTCAGCTCAACAGCAGTATCTAAAATAGAAAATATCCACTAAAAGGAAATACTCAAGAATTCCCCTTCTAGTCTTTCAGAAACAAAGGTTTAAAGTGTCTTCCTGTAATTTCCCTTTGTGATTCTATACCTCCAAAAAGGCAGATTTTTTTTTCCTCGATCTTTTCCTATATGTCATTAAAATATGCAGAAATTTGACCAGAGTACACTGCTGGCCTTGAAGAGTGGATAGAGTTGGAATCTGATTTCTGAAATTGTTGCCATGTCAGGAAATTTTACAAATATCAAACAAACTTCACTGTGCATTTCTGACCAAAATAATTAAATCAATGCTAGTCACACTGATTTAAAAAAAGCAGAATTTGGTCTTGTTTCTAGTATAGAACAAAAATATAAGGATCATAAAATGTGTAACTAAGAACACGCATGGTCAGAAAACTTACTGACTATGTAGACAGTGATACAGTGGGCTAAAAGAGAAGGTGCTTTAGTGACATCAGGACTTGCATTAAATAACCTGCTGTAACAAAGTGCCAAGGCTGAGGTCCTTATTTCTGAATATTATTGCCCCGGTGATAATTCCACTGTTGTAACGAGAAACTGTTGGTAGTGTAACATAAAAGGTCTTGAAGCTTTTATTCCATTGCAACATCAGTGCCTGAGGGATATCCAAAGGCAGAAAAAAGGGTTCTGCATGTTTTTTGGAATTTGAAGTAATTTATTTATCTCAGTAAGTTTCAGTGTAAAACTTATAAGTGAGGGAGTTTGTTCCAGAACCAGTATCTGATTTTACTTGCTGTGGCTTGTGTTCCACAATGAAGTTAATTTGTTTCATGATATTTTCAAGTCTGGTTCTGATTGCCTGATTTCTTGTTTGCTTGGTTCTCTTGCAGTACTGCAAAATGATCTCTTCCTGCGGTTGTTAATAACAGATGATGTTGAAACAGCAATTATAATGATGTCAGTTTTGCACAACATTTTGAGGATCAATAGGTTAGTTGTTTTTATATCATTGATCTTTCTGAATTACGAATTTAAAACTCAATTCATTACTGCTTAGTAAAGCAGAAGTTTTTCATATGTAAGAGTCGTTGTGGTTTAGTGTTGGTTTTTTTTTCCCTAGTTTTTGCTGTAGAAATAGAAAAAATGAAAAAGCTGTTTTTTCCTAATCTTGTTCAGTTGAGGGAATGGGAATTGGTAGATTGAAGGAGTAGTGCTACCCAGATCAGACTGCTGGTCCAGCTAGCTGGGCATGTTGGCTTGCTGTATGGCCTGACATATCTGAAAATAAGTCACTGTTGGAAAGCTCATGGTTTATAATTAACACTTCTGTTCTGTGCCCCTCCCCTTCTTTTTTTCTTTCTTTTTAAAGTTCTGTCTTGCTTCAAGTTGATAAGAAGACCCTTCACTCTGTTTTGGATGAACTTGTTTATAAGCTTTCATCTACCACCAATCCTGCTGTAGGAAGTGCTGCCACAAAGCTGCTGGTGGTGGTGGCCAGATTTAGCACACAGCTTGCGGAGTTACTCACAGCTCACTACAAAGGTTTGTAAATTGCTCAGCCTCCTCTTACATTCCATGGGGAAAGTACCAAGATGGAGGTTTCCGGTCTTGGTTCAATAACTATCCAGTTCAGGTAGAAACTGCAGTGCTGTGTTGCTTTGGGATTTTTTTTCCTTCTCCATTCTCTTTGTTTTCATTGCAATTTAAGGTACCACTCCTCTTTCTGTTTCCTGGATTTACTTTCTTCTGTGTGTTGAGGACTCTGCATGTGACAGCTTGTCTTTTAAAGCTGTTGTTTGTCACTTCCACCCTGATGGGCTTTACTTCTTCCTGTGTGATGTTCCCCATCTGTTTCCCTGTGCAGGTTGGCTGTTCAGGGATCCCAGCAGCAGGGTGCCTGTACTGGCCCAGTCAGAGCCCTGTGTCACACCTCTGCCTGTGCTGAGGCTCACTAGCCCAGAAGTATGAAAGCTTTACTGAAAGTGAACTTCTGACCCAGGCTGTTACAGGTCTGCTTACCTGATAGGTGCTGTTCTGTCACCCAGGAACTGTCTGGCTTTGATATCCAAGGAACTGGAATGAACTCTTTCCAAGAATTTATTAAATGAGTTTATAGTTTTGTCTTGATGCCTTTAGGTGAGGAGACTGAATATGTGTATAACTTGCTCTGTCATTCATTCTTTAATGAGGTGTCCCATTTAATGTTTCTGTCTCTAGCCTAGCAGGGAGCTCCAGGAAACCCCTTTGTCCTCTATCATGCCCATGGAGACTAAGAAAGAGGCTTTGAAGTTTGCCAGGTCTTTTATGTTCTGGATGTTATTGTTGGTCGAAACTGCTTGTGAGCAGCCTCAGTCCTCTGGGACAAGGTTAGTAAGAAGTGGGAATGGTAGACAAAAATGTCCAATTCCCATTTTTTACACTTGTGCTGACTACATTTTAGGTAGTACCAGCCAGATAAATTTCTGGACCAGGCAGGCAGCTTTGCCACCCTTTTGCCTACAGAATTGAGAGAGGAGGGATTTCTTTTGATATAAAATGTAGTGTGACTAAGGCTGGTATGACATTGTGAAATCTTGTGAAGCTGCTGTGATGATCTGGTCATCCCAGCTGTAGGTTGCTTCTTGGCTGAAGAGGTGCAGGTCTCCATCAAAGGGTTATGCTTTGTTTTGCTTTAGAATCACAGTATGCCACAGTCATTTGGAAAGTCTTTTCTTTGTGCATGTTTCCTGTTTCCACCAAGAAAAGAAAAATTGCTTATTTTCTCTACTTTTTTTTTTTATGAAGTTAGAATGTTAGTTTTCACTCAGGCTTTGGAATCTTTTAGATAGTTTGAGAAATAGCAGCAGCAAAGAAAGCATTACAGCGTTTCCATCATCTGGGCATCTCATTGGAGTCACTTGGCTTCACAGTAGCTCAGAGCCATTGCTAGTGTGAGGTGCTTCAGTGTAAGCTTTGGCAGTAAAGGCAGCCTGACACAAGAGAGGACATCACCTGAACCTCACATCTCCAAGACTAGCACTGTCTTTGCATCAGGTTTCCACGAGTGCTCAGTGTTTTTGTCTGCATGGGTTGACACGAGAGGCACATCCGAGGTACTCCCAGTCAGTAGCTGACAGGGGCAAGTGGCTGTGTAGTCTGTACAGCCACTGGTAAATGGTTGTGTCAGACCCACAGGACTTCTGTGAGAGAACTGCCTTGTGTAGCCTGAGTACTGCTTCGACAGGGCTCAGGCAGCCTCAGGGCACCCACTGACTGTTTAGAGTCTCAACTGTCTCTCTCCTCAGGTATTTTAACTGGTGCATGCAGTGCCACAGAGGTGCCATTTCCGTTTGCATGAAGGACTTGGTGCTCCATATCAATCTCCTGTAGGCATATAGAAGTGTTGGAGTTGCCCTGTGTAGGAATATGCTTATGGACAATGATTTGAAGATGAAAAAGTTACTTGTAGCTGCAGTTCTTCAGGATACTATCCAGACATGTGCCTGCTTCCTGCCCTCCTTCCTCTTCCCTCCAACTCCCTGCAGAACTCTCAGGCTCTGGGATCTGTCTGATACTAACCTTTTAGCATGTGTTACTGTCTACCTGGGTCCTGTGTTGCACAGCACAGGGAGAGTGTGTGTGTGTGTGTGTATGTGTTTGTGTGTGTGTGCTTTTTACTTAACTGTGAACCTGGAAAGCTGTTTTGTCTCATGGATTGGATGCACATGTACTCCCAGTTAGACTGTGCTATGTAAGTAAGACATGAAACAATTCCAGTTATAAATAAATAAATTTTACTATGAAAAATACTAAAGCAGTGCTAATAACACCTCTCATGTGGTGCTTTGAATTCTGTTAGTAGCTTGCACTAACTTACTGATAAGACACTGAAAGTATATTGATAATTTAGCTGTTAGTTATGTAGACACAATACTGACTCTGACATACAAAAAAAACTGTATAAGACTTCTCTGTGATGGTTGGAGCACCAGATACTCTTTGATAACATTCTGCATTGAATATTGATATATTTCAGTATCATCTGATACTGATGCTCAGAGATGGCTGATGGTGTTCAGCTCTAGTGTTCCTTTGCACACAGAAACAGATTTGATTTGTTGACCTGAAGTTTGTTACTTTGTAATCCTGAAAAGAAAATTTCACCTTAGTGGTATCACTTCCTTCTTTTTCTCTTAGGATTAAAAGAGCTTTTAAGTAAACAGTGGACTGGCAAAGGATTTGATAGGGAGCTGAATCAGCTCCTGGACCTGCTGTATTTGGAACAATCCAGTGGACAAGAAGTGCAGGTGATGAAGTTTAATGAGACTTTTCTATGTGAATCCTAGTTACATGTGATTTGTATATGTTTAGAATAGATTTACTCCATCGCTTTGACGACACTTTTCAAAGCCTGTGCTATTATTTCACTATGTTAATGGATTTTTAAATTTCCTAGTTATTTTTTTCCTTTTTTTGAAAACATCAAGGAATTCCTCAGTGATTAAGATACGGGATTCTGACTTGAGGGACTGACTTTCTGTTGCAGATTCACCATAGATTTCTTTACAAATTTAGGGGGGAAAAGATTAATATTTTTGCTAACTCTAAACCAAAAATAACTATCTGCTGTCTCACATCAGTGTTACAAATTTAGATCTCTGAATTCTAGGCAGCATTCACATAGAATTAAGTCATACAGAGAAAATGTGCAGTAAGAACACCACCTGGGCTGTGTTCCCAATAGATGACATGTGTTTTATGAGCTTCTTAAAAATTTTTTACATGGATGTTTCTCAGAGACAGTACTTTAAAGGCAATCAAAGTTAGGTTTGTAGAGACCTGCCTTCATCTTCAACAGCACAGGATGTTTTGTGTTTGGGTTGCTTTGTGGCGTTTTTAAATCCATTTAAGAATGGAATTTTTTTTCATGTTTGGATTTCAGTGACTTCTGATCATGCTGCAAATGTAACATTTTTTTCCTGCTGCTAATGCTCCAAACTCGTCTTTCTATCCTCTCTAGTGTGGGTATTTTGATTGAATCAACTTCTGGCATATCAAATGCTTCAGGTGTTTTTCAAAGACAAATCTCTAGCATTGCTTAATGCAGCTAATATATATTTGTGCTGTAGGTTCATTTGTTTACCATAGAGAGCATCAATACAGGTGATCAGATTAGCTGCCTTGGGGTTCCTGATAATAACTGTCTTGTGAGACCTTAAATTCCCCAAGCTGTACAAATACTGGATTCGATGCATTTGAAAACTGATGTCTTTTGGCCAAATGTTGAGATTGTGCAAATATGCAACTAGTAATAAAGTGGTTTTATATGTATAGAAAATATACTACCAACTGCTTTATTAATTTCAGAAGCAGCATCAAGCAGCTTGTATAATCCAGGCTGCATGGAAGGGATTTCAGACAAGGAAGAGGCTGAAAAAGCTACCCCGAGCAGTGATCACTTTGCAGAGAAGCTTCAGGTAAACAGTATGGCTTTGTGAAAAACAGCAAAGGGGAGAATCTAGTAAGAAGGTTTGGGTTGGATTTTCTCAGATCACAGTGTGACAGGAGAAATATAGGTCACCTAATCCAATGTCCTGTTTGAAGAAGGCCCAGCCTCAAAATAGGATCTGACTGTTGAGGGCCATATCGAGTTCTGAGGTCTCCAAGGATGGAGATCCCATCATCTCACTTGATCTCTTTCTTGGTGCTGGATGATTTGCCTTGTGAGAACTCTTTCATTGCAGCCAGTGGGAATTTTCTTGTTGCACTCTTTGCCATTGCCTCTTGTCCTTCTTCTGAGCATCTCCAAGAGTCTGGTTCTGTCTGCTCTAAAACACTTCCTTTAAGTAGCAGAAGACAGGTTTGCCTTCCTTTAGGCTAAACAAACCTCACCTGTCCTTGTGTATCTTCTATTCCATAGCCCTAATTGTCTCTGTTTAGACAGTCTCTATCTCTCCCATTTGTCAGTGTCTGTCTTCTACTGGGGGTCCCTGTAGAGTGTGACCAGTATTCCAGGTGTGCCCTCAAGAATGCTGAGTAAAGGCAAATAATCTTGTTTGACCTGCTGCCTCTGCTTTTGCTAGTGCAAGCCACTACATCATAGCCTTTGTTACTGCAAGGGCACACTACTGGCTCGTGTTCAGCCTGTCACCCCACCAGGAACTCCGGGAGCTGCTGTCTGGGTAGTCAGTGCCCAACTGTACTGGTTCATGAGGTTATTTTGTACCAGGTGGAGAACTTCCCGTTTGAACTTCATGTGGTTTCTGTTGACCCATTTTCTCTGTGTGTGTAAGTTTCTCTAAGTGTCAGCCCTGCCCTGCATGGGAGACTGTGATCACAGCCTTGATAAAGTCAAGAGAAATGACATCCACTGCTCTCCCTTCATCCACAGAGCCAGTCATCTCATCACAGAATGCAATCAAGCTGGTCAAACATGATTTGCCTGTGATAAATCTATGCTGGCTATTCCCATTCACCTTCCTGTCCTTCCTGGAGATAGTTTCCCTGAGAACTTGTTCTTATGTCCCAGAACCTAAGTTTGGGCTGACCAAATGTTCCTTCATCTTGAAGATGCCTTTTTCCAGTCAGCTGCTATTTCTGAAACATAAAGGTAATGTAATGCCAATATGAGCTGTTTCACTGCAGATTCTTTTAGCAGAAACATCCAAACAATGTGCTTTTCCAGCAGTACCAAACTGCTACTTCTGGTGCCAAAAGCTCCAACTGTCCCTTTCCCAGCTGCCAGACTTCTCCAGGAAAAAAACTTACTTCTGTGATGCTTTTATGTTTTCTGTGTAAAAATTTGTGGCATATGGAAAACTGAAAATGTGGAACACTGTTGCATGGGATTGCACTAAATAGCACTAGATGATGTTCTGGTGGTAGAACAGTTAACTGAACTTGACACAAAATGGCACTATAAATTAAATGTGGAGCTCTCCTGGAGTTTCCAGAGACCAGAGTGCTGCAGAAACCAAGGCCCACAGTGCTCGCTCAGTGTAGTGCTTGCAAGACTTGTTCTTCATTAATTTTTGAAATCTTTGACTCTCAGAAGTGGAGTCACTTCAGTGGCCTAGAAACAGTATCCTCTGACTTGGAGCAGTGCAGAAGAATGAAGTTATGTAAATAATGCTTGTCTCACTTGGAGTAAGATTTCAGCAGTGATGTTGGCACGTGTTAGGCTAACTTTTGCAGAAATTTAGTGTGAATTTAACATGGATTAAGGCATCTAAATAAGTTCAGACTCCAGGGGTTTTTTTCAAACTTTTTTTTTTTTGCACATGTTGAGTATTAACCGTGTCAAAACTAGATCTTAGCAATCAACTAGTCACACTGCATTGTGACCAAGGTGATAGAAGGCAAACAGTTATGATTTGTTGCCTAGACTGGCATTAAGAAGATATGGAACTGTCAAAGGTGTAATCTTTAAATTCTGAAAGATTTGCAGGGGCAAGAAGTGTGTCTATTGAGGGCCACTAGTCACTGCAGCTTTTGCGCTACAATCAGACATCCTTGTCACTCCTCTTTACTCCCCCATGCACTTCAAGCCAATATTCCTGCCCTCATCAGGCACCTTGCAAGCCTGCAAACCAAACTTACAGCCCAGAAAATTTGTGTGATGAGCTAAGCTTAACATGGCAAAGCAGAAGGGAAAGGGCAGTGAGGCCCGCAGCAGCCAACAAGCAGCTTCACTCCCTTGTGTCGTGCTTTCAATACTGTAAGCAGCAGTGTGTGCCTCTTAAGTAGTTCTTGAGTCATTTAAATGGACTTTTGAAAGTGTTTGTTTAATATTGAGAGGAATGGAAACTTATTAATACCCTTACAGTTGTGTGTTCATGGCTCAGTCAGTCCCAGTGTACTGAGCAAATACAGCAACTGTAGAGCTCCAGTGTTGGTTTTGTCTGTCTAGGTCAAAACTGCTGTTAGCATTATGCTGAAAAACAGTGTTTGGAATACTGTAAACATGACTTCAGAAGAGCTTTCAAGAAGAGTTTTTAACAGTCAGGGTCTGGTTATAGTCACAGATTTATTTTAGGACAAGCGTGGTTATATACTGCTGAGGTTGAAACTCCAAACTTGGCTCACCTGCAGCTGCAGTGGAAGATCTTAAACTCTGCAAGTTATAAACGTCTGAAACTCTGTGGTTTTACAGCGAATTCAGAAATTCTCAGAGAATATTAAAGCCTGTAACCTCTCCTTGAAGTTAGTTCACTTACATAGCGAATTGTAGGACTGTTAGAATGGAAATAATTTGTATTAATCATGCATCAAAAATGGAACCATTGTATTTATATAAAGGGATGATCAGAGTGCCATGAACTGCAGAAGGAAGCATAGATCTTACTCTGTGTGTGTTTTACCTCTGTTCAGAGGCATTTCCCTGTCAGTGTGGTCTTGTGCAAGCAAAATACATCTTATCATTAGGAGGAACAGAGAATGAAGAAGAGCATGTGTTTTGCAGACTACACAGGAAAGAATCAGTATCAAAGAAACATTTAAATACCTGACAGACACTACTGGTATTTTCACAGATGCACATCTGAGAAGTTCGCAGAGCATTCTTGTAGTTTTCAGCCTATCAGTGAATTTTTATCAGTGAAGCTAATAAAAATTTATAGGAAAAATACTAATAGTTTTATCAAGAAAATGTCATCAAAAGGCCTGTTTGATTCTGTGATTTCATTCACCTTAGAAATATATAATATGTGCCTGGAGTGAAAATGCAAAGATTTACAGCTCTGATTTGCAGAAATGTGTGGGCTGAAAACCTCTAGTTTCACTGAGACCATTCTGATGTAATGACATATTCATGATCTGTCTCTGTAGGTAGGTGTGTGGGCACTCTTCAGGTCTGTATTACACTGGTGAAAGGATTATGGTTTATCAGATTCTGGTGGAGGCTTTTATCAGTTAGGGTTAGATCTTTAAATCCAAAGCATCTCTTTTACACAACAGCTTCTGTCCCA